TGGGTGCAGAATTGGAGACTCCCCAGCAGCTGACTAGTGATTTTACTTGGAGACTCCTTCTCTGACTCTTGGCACTCCCCTTTGTTGCCTTCACTTTCAATTGAATTGCTGTGCTTTCTGGTTCAGGATTACAGTCCCACGTTCTAACTTAGATTAGTCGTCAGGAATAAAGGTACCTTCTGGTTTGGTTTGTGTGATCTTACAGAGCATTGTCTGGTAGAATGTAGGGAGGGGGGTCCTCCATTCTGGGAAACAGCCCTTTGGGGCGAGTTTTGGCTAATTGGTTGACCTATGCTTATAAACCTAGGACTAAAAAGAAAATAATTTTTTTTAAATTTTTTTTTACTATATGTGGTGTGTTTTCTGCCTCCAAATGACATAACTAGAATGTAATATTTTATTTACCTAAAGAAATTAAATACATAGATTCAGCAGGATCCTGTGGTTTGGACAAAATATTTAATATTAAAACCAGTTTAAGTTTGATTGATGTCTTTTAAAGTTATGACCATAAAATATGTGTTTGTTTTACCTGATTTACAAATAGTTCATATTATGATCTTTTGGTTAAGTTTGACAACCTTCCCAGAGTTTAAATTTTAAGAGATTTTTTTTAACCAAGAAATGACTCTGAGTCATTCCAATGGGCCCCTGGAACACCTCAAAGATTTGTTCTCTCTCTTTATAAAAAAGTAGCTTTTTAACTAATTGGGCCTATTTAATACACTTGAAACTACATGGGAAGGTTTGCCAAATAAAATAATAATAATAACTATGTTCTATTTGTATTCATGTATTTTTATTAAAATGAATATTCTAGAAATTTGAGTCTGCTCTAGGAAGGAACTTGCAAAGATTCAGAGCCAAGTTTAAACAGAAAACTCTCAGGGGTGCATGTGTCCTGTCAATGACACAGGGAAAGCCAAGAGTGGTGGTTATTGTAACACTGCTTAGCTTATGTATAATATGGACTCAAGAGAGCACTGGTCACTATATTATACTATCTTGCAACTTGAGTTGCTTTGTCAAAGATCAGGGAAATGGGAGGAAATATCTTATGAACAAGCTTCTATGACGTTGATCCTATAATAAGGATGCAGGATTAAAAGGAAATATATTAATTGCCCAGAGAAAAGGGAATTTGCCTGTGGTAGAGAGCAGAAGCTCAGAAGATAGGGATAAGGGAGATCTGCCAACCTGGTTCCCACAACTCCTCTGGCCCTGGGGGATCTTCCTCCTTACTCAGCTGTGTAAGCCGGAGGAGGTGAGTTTGAACTGGTCTCTCAGTCTGGAACCCACCAGGGAACCAAATTGGGTGGAAGACAAGCCAAGACAATGCCCTTTCAAAGACTTCCAGTGGGAGTAGGCCAGAAGGCCAGCCGCTGGATATTATTGTGCACATATTCTGTTTTCTACGTTGAATCTGTTAAACTGGAAAAACTAAATTCCTTCTTATAGCAATGATCTTACTAAAACGACTGAGTTATGACAGTTTTTGCCATGCACCATCTCAGTTGGGCAGACATACAAGCCTTACTGAATATTTTGCTTACAGGGATGAGCAGAGGTTGGTATTGGATATGGCAAATGAAGAGGCTCAAAGACTGCACCAAGAAAATCCAGAAGGGGCTCCCAACCTTACTAAGGCAGTACCTTTACCCAAGCCCAACTGGGACCATAATGTGAATGGCCTTTCTCTCTTAGAGCATTATAAGAGGTGCATCCTTGAGGGTCTGAAGAAAGGAGTCCCTAAGCAGAAAAGTCTCAGTATGGTGCAGGCGGTACAATAGGAGCCCACAGAAGACCCCTTTGAGTTTCTTGAAAGAATCTGCCAGGCCTATAAAAAAATACTGATTCGGATCCACAAGCCCCTGAATATATTAGAATGGTGAATATGGCCTTTATCTTTCAAAGTGCACCTGACATCAGAAAGAAACTTCAGAAGTGAGAGGGATGAATAGTCATGAATCCTTCCCAATTGGTAGACATTGCTTTCAAAGTTTATAACAGAAAACAGAAAAAGACCCAAGCAGCCACTATTTTCTTGGAATAGGTCTCAGGGCAATTCAATCTGCTGGCAAGAGGTGCCCAAGACCTATCTAAAACCCTTACCCTTGATCAATGCACATATTGCAAAAGAAAGGGGTTTTGGAAAAATAAGTGTCCCAAGAGAGGGAAAAGGGTCAGGGCTGAGGACTGGGATAAAACAATAGCTCCAATGATGAGTGATGAGGCCCAGAGGTTCAATGATTACAACAACCTATTAAAGTCACCCCCCAGAAATCTCCAGTAAAACTAACAGTGGGGGGGAAAAGTGTAGCCAGGGGTGGCCAGCCTGCTTGAGAGCTGAGGCAGCCACCTGTGAGCTCTGAAAGTTTTCCTTGGGGCAGCCTATCACCATTTATGCTCTACCAAGTACTGAGCCTACTAGAGCTAGAGGGGGATTTGTGATTCACTGCTGAATGGGCAGGCACTGAGCAATTCTTCTCAACAATCCCAATGTCTCCCTCAAAACTGTAAGTAGTTAAATCCTGTGTCCCTTCTCCCAGAGCCTAACTCTGCCATGCTAATGCATGATTGTGCTGAAATAATTGATGAGGTTTATTCTAGCAGAATTGATTTACAGGACCAGCCTCTAGAAGAGGCAGACTGCACTCTATATGCAGATGGAAACAGTGATATGGACACAGGAAACAGAAAGGCTGGGGATGCACTTGAGACTCTTGAAGGAATAGCAGAGGCTGAGGCACAACCAATGGGAACCTCTGCTCAGAAAGCGGAATGGATTGCATTGACAGGGGCACTAGAATTTTTGCGCAAAAAGAGAGTGTGTATACCGAGTCAAGGTACTCTTTCCTAATTCTGTATGCACATTGCTTAATTTGAAAAAAAAGAATACTATTAACTTCCAATAAAAAGGAAATTAAACCTGCAGCAGAAAATTTCAAATTATTAGAAGCAGTCTAGGTACCTTTACAGGTGGTAGTTATGCATTGCCTTGGGCATCAGAAAGAGGACACTGTAAGTGGCTAAAGGAAACAATCTGGCTGATCAAACAGCAAAAGAGGCTGCTAAAAGAACATTTATAATGCTCTTGGTACCTGTGCTAGACTTGTTACAATTTGACCCTGAATTTTGCCTGCAGATTTAGAGAAAGCTAAGAGCTGGGGCTTTGATGAAGATGATCCCTATCAAGGATGGAGAAACAATAAGAAAGGAGTTATACTGCTTCTTGAACAGTTAGTAGAGCCAGTTCTAAAGCATTTGCATGAGGCCACTCATGATGGAAGGGACTCATTAACCATCTATATCAAACTGTGGCTCACAGGTCCTGGAATTTCTAAAGCAATATGAAAAGTAATAGCTAGATGTGTTGTGTGCCAGAAGAACAACGTTAAGACAGGTCCCCATCAGAAGAAAGAAGGGAAACAATGCCAAGGACAATGTCTTTACCCAGATGCCCAGGGTCTGAGGGTGAAATATTTATTAGTCTGTTGATGCCTGTTCAGGATGGGTAGAAGCCTATCCAACTAGAACTGAAAAATCCTTGGAGGTAGTGAAAGCCTTTCTGAAGGAAATAATTCACCATTTTGGCCTACCTGGCAGCATCAGAGTGATAATGAACCTGCTTTTGTTTCAGACATTACACAAAAGGTTAGTAAATTTCTAGGAATCAAGTGGAGACTCCACACAGCATGGAGACCCCAGGCTTCTTGGAAGGAAGAGAAGATGAATTAAACCTTAAATAAAGATATAGCCAAGAAACTTTGTCAAGAAACTCACCTTCAGTGGGATCCAGCTTTACCTATTGCCCTATTCAGAATAAGGGTGTTGCCTTGAAGTCGGATTCATCTAAGTCCTTATGAAATAGCATTTGGGTGACCATCTCAGGCTATGATTGGGGTGGGAGATATGTATGTGGGTGAAGAAGTGAAGGAAGCCCTGACCAGTGTGGCTAAGTGGTTAGAGGGCAGCCTGTGCACTGTTTCCCGGTTAATGGCACGTACCTAGGCTGTAGGTTTGATCCCCGGCCCCACTTGCTGCCAGTGCCAGAGGCAACCAATCGATGTATCTCCCTCACATCCATGTTTCTCTCTCTCTCTCTCTTTCCCTCTGTACCCCTCCCTCCCTTCCACTCTAAAGAAATCAATGGAAAAATATCCTTGAGTGAGGATTAACAACAATGACAAAAAGTGAAGATAAAGAATTATGTAGAGCATTTAAGTCAGACTTTAGCTGTAATTAATGACCTTGCTTGTATTAGAGACCCCGCCTGCACAGGTTTGCTGCATTCTTTTGAGTCTGGAGATAAGATGCTACCTAAGACTTAGAAGACAGGATCCCCAGAGAGCCAACTAGAAGAAAGGTGGACTGGACCTTGCGATGTACTCCTCACCACCCCAACCACAGTGAAATTAGCAGGCATAAAACCTTGGATTCATCACCCTGGAGTAAAGAAAGCACTGGAAGAACACTGGCCCACTGAACCACAAGAAGACCTGAAAGTCATCTTTCAGAAGCAATGAGTTATATTCTTTTCATTACTTTTGTTTAACCCCATGTTATGAAGAACCTATTCCTTTCAAACGAGATGAAAATATTTGGGTATATTTAGCAAAAAATGTTCTAAACATCTCTGACATTTGTACTGCAGGAGGAACCTACATTGAAGAAACTTTCACTTCACATCTTGTATGTGTTTGTACTCCCCTGGAAAGCCTTGGAAATTATTCTTTGTTTCAGCATATCACTAAGACCATAACTTACTCTGATATTTATAATTGGGGACCTGTGGTAACTCTAAAGGACAAGGAAATGTTTTCCTTAAAAGTCACTAATGTAGCCCCAGCTAGAGAATGTGCAACTTTTGTCAACTGTACTAAAAACTGTTTTATGTTTTCAGTGGGCATGGAGATGAGTTGCAACACCACCACTAATGTTTCTGATGCCTTTGGTCATGTTAAATTGCCTGCAAGATGGTGTCTAATATAGGGAAGGACTGTTTATTCCTATGTTTCAGAAAACAGTTCCAGGGAGACCATACTCTCTGGGACTCACGGTGTTTATGCCTCAGAAGCCCCACTCCCCCTGGGCTTGAAGGGAACTCTAATTTGCACCTGATTGTAACAGTGATTTGCACCTTTTTAGCCCTGCTGAATGTAGATCCTTGACTACATTTGTAATGCCAGTCATGGTAACCTCTTTGCATATAGAAATAAGTAGATTAGACTGTCCCATGGTAAAAGCTTTGAATGTCACCTCTGTTAATGTAAGAAATGTGGTTCCTTTTCATCCACACCTCACAAGCCATTAGTGCCATCAGTCAAGAAGTAGGGCAAGTTAGAGAAGCGGTATTAGAAAATTGTGCAGCTATAGACTGCCTCTTTTTAGAACATAATCACTGATGTGAAGAATTTAAAGGACTCTGCTGTTTCAACCTGACTGATAATTCACAGCTCATAGTAAAGCAAGTAAAGGAAGTAATGTCCAAGATAAAGCAAAGAGAGGGGTCCTTTGGTACTGATTTGTCCAAACTAACTTCCTAGCTGCCTAGCATTACTAGTCTTAGAGAGGCATTTGTTGCTTTTATTCTTTCATCTTTTTTAGTATCTTAGCTTCTTGTTGCATAAAATGTGCCCCCTTATCTAGGTCTGCAATGACGTGTGTTCCTAAACCCCATACAAGACATTCTAATGCTAAGACACATGCTCAACAGCAAAATGATTACTTCCACGTGAAACTAATGTCGTAGAAATAAGATTGTTAAAGTCTAACAATGGAGAATGATGGGGAACACAAGAACTTAAAAATGTTAACTTTAGTTATACAGTTAATAGGTTTGGTAAATAATGATGTAGAAAGATATTGTTCCAAGAACTAGAATGTATGACTGGATCTGCCTGGCTTCAGGAGACCTGCAAGCAATTTGACCTTTGTGCCCCAGGAGGACTACAAGCAACCAAGACAGCATCTGAGCCATTGTGCTCCAGGGAGAGAAGGTCAGCTGCCCAGGATGCAGATAAAGAATCACCAGTCAACTTGCAACCAAGATTCGGTGTAGGTAAACACAGTATTTGCCTCCTCCCACAACCACATTAAAATTACAATGAAACTACAGACTATCACTCATGGCTACCTGAAATGGTGCTGAATGGAAGTCCTACAACTATGAAATTGAAGAAGAAGCTACATCAAGACTGGTAGGAGGGGTGGAGTCATGAAACAAGCTGGTCCCACACCCACAATTGGCAGATAAAAATTGGGAGAGATATCTCAGCTGTGGAGGTTGTCCCTGAAGAGTGAGGCGTCCAAGTCCCACACCAGGCACCCCAGCCCAGGGTTCCAGCACCAGGAAGAGAAGTCCTCATAATTTCTGGCTGTGAAAACCAGTGGGAATTGAGACTGAGTGAGAGAGAGGCTGCTGGAGTCCCAGGCAGTTCCTCTTAAGGGCCCTTACATAGCCTTATTCAGACTCACTCCTTTTGAGCTCCAGAGAACAGCAACTTGAAAGGCATGAGAGACATAGGGGGAGGAACTGAATTGTCCTGTATCAGGGAGAGAACTGGAGGGGCAGCTTTCTCCAAGACACAGGTGTTGACAAAAGCCATTTTGATGAGCCCTTCCTCCACAGAGCCAGCAGGCAAGTGCCCTATCTGAGACTACATCAACCTGCCTCACCCTGGTGGTTACTTGAGACCCTGCCCCATACAATTTTCAGGCCCACCCAACTGTTTCAGTGGTTTTACCATAGTAATGGCCTGTCTTGGATTATGCTTCAGATTTTCCTAAAATATCTCAAACAAGCAGTATCTGGCCTTAGCAAGCCCCATATGTCATGCTCAGTGGCCTAAGTCCCCTCACCAGCAGCAGCCAAACTTAGTTCACAGCGTGGCCTCACCTAGGCATTTCCAAGCCCAGCACAAGAAGCAGCCATCTGCAGATTGCTTTGTAGATTATGCCTGGTGGCCCCGGGCAGAGCACAGAGGGTGGCTGATCTTGGATTGCATCTCCTGGGAGACCCCAGAACCAGTGCACCCAGTGAACAGCTTCAGACTAGGTGGAAGCACCAACACCCAACCACCTTCATAAGTGACACACTCAAGGGCAGACTTAGCAGGTACTAGAGCCCTGCTGAAGTAAGTCCTGCTCTGTGCAGTGGGTTCCTGAACAGCTAATCCTCCAAGGTGTTTGGAGATTGGTGATGAGTGGTGAGCAAGTCCTTGTAGCTGATCAGCCTGAATAAATCCTTCTCATTGATGTGCCAACAGCAATCAGGACTCAACTACAACAGAAGGGTATATAAGCCACATGGGGTGGTGCACCTCGAGTGCCTAGTGTACCAACATTCGCATCATAGGGATACCAGAAGAAGAAACAGAGCAAAAAATTGAAAACTTATTTGAAAAAATAATTACATAGAACTTCTCTAACTTGGTGAAGGAAACAGACATACAAGTCCAGGAAACACAGAGTCCCAAACAAGATGAAACCAAAGAGGCCCACATCAAGACACATTATAATTTAAATGTGAAAGATTAAAGACAAAGAGAGAATCTTAAAAGCAGCAAGAGAAAAGCAGTTAGTTACCTACAGGGAGTTCCCATAATATTGTCAGCTGATTTTTCAACAGAAACTTTGCAGGCCAAAAGGGCATGGCAAGAAATATTCAAAGTGATGTAAAGGAAGGAGCTACAACCAAGATTACTCTACCCTGCAAAGCTATCATTTCAAACTGAAGGACAGATAAAGAGCTTCCCAGAGAAGAAAAAGCTAAAGGAGTTCATCACAACCAAAACAGTATTCTATGAAATGTTATAGGGTCTTCTTTAAGAAGAAGAAGAAAAAGGTAAAAAATATGAACAATAAAATGACAATAAATACATATCTATCAACAATTGAATCTACAAACAAAATGAACAAGTAGAACAGAAACAGACTCATAGATACAGAGAACTTTTTGTTGGTTGCTAGAGGGGTGTTGGGGGACTGGGTAAAAAAGGTGAAGGAATTAAGAAGTACAAATTGGTTGTTAGAGAATAGTCATGGGGATGTAAAGTACAACATAGGGAATAATATTCTAATAATTAGGCTTGTTGCTGGATGGGTGTGGGATTTATTGGGATGATCATGTATTAAGTTATGTTCTGGTCATGAGTAATATACCTGAACCTAATATAATGATGTATGTTAACTGTAACTGAAAATAAAAAGTGATTTTTAAAAAAGTATCACCAGTCAGCAGATGAAGGAATACTTAGAAAATTGCTGGACTGAAGCTTTTGTCTGATTAACCATTTTCCCTGAATTCCAAACCCTTTATCTACACTTTTCTTCACTTTATGAAAAAGGTTACC